TAAATCAAAATTTCGAGTTAATAAGTTGAAATTTCAAGAAAGATAGGATACCTTTTTTTTAGTGGCGGAAATGGGCTTCCATAGCTCCCGCTTCCTCCGTAGAAGTAAATACAGTATTTGTCTGTGATGTGAGCCTTCAAGTGACCCTTTGCTTTCAGCCGTGAGTTGTATCAAAGTATTGTTTAAAGTGTTGTCACAGGGATCCAGTTTTTCTAAGTTTTATCTTAAGCATATCTCAGCTGCTTTTAAGATGGGAATTGGTGTGTCTCATCACTGGAAAGGTTATCCTGTTAACCTAGCCCTGAAGATGCACATTTCCCCATCAATCTCATCATCTCCTCAGCTTCTTTACTCCTCTAGTCTTTGTGTCTTGCATACAAAAATATTGATTAACAGCTCCATTTTTTACTTGAAATTTCGCAAAATTAATACATCTAATATTTGACAGCCTCCAGTTCACTGACTGCATATTGGCCTTTTCCTCGGTGAATGAGAGGTTAACTACCCTATAGCATGGTGTTGGTTTTCTAATAGGAGAATTTAACGCATAGCTGGGAGGAATGCCCTGCCACAATTTACCTAACAAAAAATGTAAAAGCTGGTTTCCAAAGCAGATTTGTCCAAATTTCAGGCCAGTGACAAGTTAGTGAGAAATAAGAGCTTTAGTAAAAGCTTCAGCAAAGATCTCTTTCTCATCCTGAAGAACACTAGCATACTGTTGGTGTTTTTACCCTTTTTGCTTCACATTGTATCAAGTTACTTGCTAAATTAGAAAATTACACTTTTATTAAAGCATTCTTTGTTTAAGGTACAGAATTACAAAGCAGGCAAATTAGCATGATGTCACAATCACAGAATTTCTGTGGGTGATCTGCTGTTGGTAGTAAACGGTAAGAGACACGTATGTCTGATCAGATTTAGAAGGCTAGAGAGGAAGAGTGGTTTGTCTCACTGGGCTACAGTACAAATATGGTTCATTGTAGAAGGTTCAATGTGACTGATGCAGTTACTGTGTACTCACTTGTGAGTGAGTTAGTGTTAGAATTTCTGCATTTGATTTTGTTACTTTCTTAATTTTTCTTATTTTGTCTTTTGTTAAATTTTAGATTTGATACATTGTCAACCATAGTTTAAAAAAAAACTTGTTCATATTTTTAAAAAGCAGAGTACCAAAAAGATGAATTTTCTTGCCATGAACAAATCATCTTCGTTTTTTTTTTGTTTGTTTGTTTGTTTTCAACTTTATTATGAAACAAAATCAACTTTAAACAATCGGCCATTATAAGACAAATAAGTCAAAGTCAACAGAAACAGCAACAATTCACAAAGTCTTCACATTTAGCAAGAATATGAATTTATACAAAACACTGTACAAAAAATTGAATATGTTTATTCCACACATCGTAGAAAAATGCATAATTATTCTTTTTGGTGCAGCTTCTGGATACACAGAGTTGTGGATCCAGACTCTCTCACCACTTCCTTAATGATTCTTAAATGTAGTTCATTGGTTAAAAAGAGATCAAACACAGCTGACTGATTGCAATGGTTCCTTCAGATCTTCTAGGCTCCAGACATGAAATGATATCTGAATGTGAATTTTTTTTTACAGAAAATCTGGTATATGACATCTTCAAATAACATGCTAACATTCTATTTTTGAAGTATTGTTTTAATTTCTGAGACATACTTAAATACTGAGTATGTAAAAGGAAATGTTATGTAGCTGACTCGACCTTGAAGATGCACATTTTCTGATCATCTTTACTTCTCTGGCCTGCTCCTGTTTCTGAATGTAGAATCATTAATTGATAGTGACAATTTGAAGAAATTTTTAAACTAAAATTCTACTAATAATTTAACTGTAATTGAACACTGGCTCCAATTTTTATTAAAAACTGACAGCTGCATTTATTGATTTGATGAAAACTACAAAGACAATGGACACTATAAAATGTAAATAAAATGTGGAATAACTTGCAAACCCATATTTTATTCACAATGGAAAATATGTCAAATAGGTAGCTTTTAATTTGATTGTAGTATCATGTCTCAAAAAACTGTGTGTGTGTATGTGTGTGTACTATATGGGCCATGTTTACTACTGTGTAGTCTCTTGTCTAACAGCAGACTCATTTTCCTTTAAGCTTTGGAAACTAAGGAGACAGGTTTCAAGGCTTTTTCTTGACACTGATTGTGATGCTGTATACTAAAACCTGCTGCTTTGCCACTGCTCATCAAAATCATGCACAGAAAAAAATGGCAAACAAACTGTAAAATAATTTAAACTATACATGTGAACAAACCCTCCCTATTAATGCCAGAATATGATCAGAGTTACTGGAAAAGGAAAACATTGACTATTTACCTCAATTAAAAATAATCTTAGACTGGATTGGAACTTTTGTACAAAATCAAATGGCTGGTAATGAACAGATGCAAGGCCATTGATGCTTAAACCCTTTTCCAAAAAAGAAGATTTATGTTGTATCACAAGAGGAAAGTATAGAGTTCTTAAAGTTGAGTTATTTACATTTTCAGCCTTAACGTTTTTTAATCATTGTGCTTTAAATCAGGAAAGATGACTTCATTTTTCCTGACTTAAAATTCTTGCTTATGCTAAAGCAAACAATAGCCCTGAGAGTGATCCCACAGCTGAGGATTATTTTGGGATTGGTTTTCCACTACCTGTAGAGTGAAATTACTCCGGAGAGAATAATCTGTTGGACTTTGCACCAGGAGTGTATGTCATACGTAATGACAGGAGGTCCAAGCTGCTCCACATAAAGAGGCTAAGAGCCAGCCTGACATTTTAGATACACCACCATTGTTGTATAGGCTGTCCTCACCAAGCTAAAATTGCCAACAGTGTTCGCAGTGCAACATTACTGGTACTAAATAATGGTTTTCAAGTCATCTTTTGCTGAACCTTTTGTTCAACAAAATATTGTGTTTTATGTACCTATTAGGTCTGTTGAGATATGATAAAGGCAACTGGATTTGTAACCCAGCCAATGGGCACTGATGCATTCTTGATATATTTATCCCAGAAAAATGAAGACCTTTTACTACTTTTCCAAACCTACTTTGAGTCCTGAGACTTGGGTGTTTGATGGGGGTTTTTTTGGTCATAAGCTTTCCACTTTCCTTTCTAATAATCACAGTAATTAGGAATACTTTATTGAAAATAAATAATGTTCCTACGCACAGGTTTCACAGCAGTGATGTGAAAATGTGAAGGTGTGTAATCGGGAGGAGAGAAAGTGCCACATCCATAAACAGAGAGACAAAAAAACAGGATGGGAGCAAAGGGTGGAGAAGAATCATAAAACACTAAACAAATATATCTGTATATAGAGAGAGGAACTTGCAGTACATAGCAATCAGAACTCCATGTTGCTGACAGAGACATCCTTCTTGTGCAGACTGAAGTTCAATCGCCATGGCCAAGGTAATTAAAACAGACTTTAAAATATTACATTTTAGAGTTTTACATGGCAGTTTTAGTGTGTGATAATGTCTGAAAATTGTTGGTCTTATACCTTATACCTGATTAGAAGTGCTCAGTGTAAGCATCATTATTATCTGTGTCCTTCAATAAACAGTGATGATGTTTTTATTTTATTTTATTTTTTAAAATCCATAGTCAATCTTAAATAAGATCCCTAAAAAGTTATTACTAGTCATTACTAAAAACAGGTCCTATGTCAGCACATATGCATACACTGAATTTTGTTCTGTGTTGAAGAAAGATTCAAATTTTTATTGATTTTTAATGCACAACAGTCCAAAGGTCTCTTGGCTTCCATCAGGTTAGTGTCAGTTTCTTTTTGTGTTTAGAGGAAGGCCAATAACACTGAGGTTTAGATACTCAAATGTATCCCTGGAATTGAATTTGCTTTCCAAGCACATGTTTAAATACCTTCCAGTAAAAATGAGCCTGCACTGCACTTCCTCCATTTTCGAACCAAAATGTTTTTTGAAATATTCGTAACTTCATCCTAAAATTTTAACTACTTTGTACCTGAACTGTACCTGAACTACCTGAACAAACATCATCAAGATGTTTGTCTACATGCTTGCAAAAAGTGAGGGGTATAACAAGTCTTCTTTTTTTCACTGAATATCCTTTTTTTATATTGGGCTATATTTGGTTAGGGCAAACTAATCTAGTGATTACTATTCTGTCCTTGCAATGAGATCTCATTTTCAAAGCTCATTGTTTCTGCTTCAAAGCAGAAGTGAGCTCATAATTAATAAATCAGTTAAAATGTCCTTACCTCACCTACAAAAGAAGTGCACACTCAAACTTATCACTGGATTCATGAAGCATGTGCAGTGACCAGTTTTGCTCACAATAACTGCATAAGAGGAGACAAATACTCCAGTCTCAAGAAACAGAGGAGCATCATGTCATGATGCCATCACCTCAGTGCTACTGTTTTTTTAATTTTTTTTTTATTTCAATAAAGGTAATACATACTATTGGTGATATTGTAAAAGTGAGTGAGATTTTTTGTTTTTTATTTCTTGATTGGCTGCATCAGTCTTGTGTTGTGGCTGTCTGTGGAGTTCTGAAAGTGAAATTCCTAGAAATATATGTGTAATGATGTCACAGCAAAAATGACAGAGCAGGTGGGGTCGTATCTACCAACTGTCTTCACCAGACATTAGTGTAAACTAGCTACTGATCAAGAGGCACAGTATCGGTTTGGAACTGAAAGGCATTGACAGTGAAGGTATTTTAGTGGTTGACTTTATCAGAGATGTATTTGTAGGAGCTTCCATTAAAGCACACAAAACAATTTCAGGTTTACATGGTAGAATAGTTTGGAATAATGCAGCTCTTGCCTCTGGATAGGTCTACCTGATACTCCCATATTAGTTTTCTTCCTATATCATCATAATAATAACATTGGTCCAGGATCGTGATTTTCACAGGATAACCGATGCCCTCTAGAGGACTACATATATCCCACAACATGCTAGAATGGCAATTTATAACATCTAGCCCACAAAATACAGTTTTTGTTTTAGTTGTGAATGTGATGCTATTCCTTCAATAGTTTGTTTGAAGTCCTAAGTAGGTGAAATAAAATACGTACTTCCCCTAATTCTCCTAAGCATTGTACTAATACCATTTCATACCATAAAATAGTCACACAGTGGGCCCATCTATTCAGAGCCATTTATTGCAAAGTTGATTTAACAGTATTGCCAGAATGTTCAAGGTTCCTTTATTACATGTTGCCACCATTTGGAGGTACGAGGACTGCGAACAGGAAATAGTAACTTCCAAACCTCTTTATAGTAGGGAGGAATTGGGCTCTTACTAAGCAGTAAGAAACAGAGGGCAGTTTGTCAATCTTTTGTTTAAATAGCCTTTTAGTCATTGTGAATAAACTTCTGTATTTGTGATTTTTGTGTCGAAGCCTCGTTGTCACATTTTGGTTATGAGTATCGAGTATAAACTAATTAATTACTTGTATGGTTTGTTCTTAGGGGAGGGGCTTAAGCTTTATGAGGCTGAGTTCCTGAGGGTGGAGTTCAAGGTGGCTCTGTAAGAATAAAGGCTGGTCGGCCTTTGAAATTATCTGTAGTTGATTTATAAGTCTCCTTCATTTTTTTAACAGTTTGTTTGTACAAATTTATTTTTGGTTGTTCATACCACCAACCTGTGCCACCTGACTATCAGTATTTCTTCTTTTTTTTGTAAACAAATTGCACCTCGGGTGAAGAGAATCCCTGGTTCCACCGCATCTGTGACCCCCTTAAATGTGCCCTCTGGATTTGTGCTCCACTTGAGTCTCAGTCCTAAAGAGCTCACACAGTCACAGAAATTTTTAATATTTTACTTTTATATCAAAACCACATTTATTCTTCTTCAGCGTCCCCAAATTTATCTGCTCATGATGCTTTCAGAAAAAAAAACATGCATAAAACCTGCACTTTCATATTACCCACAGTATTATTATTATTTAAGACATTGTTGCCTCACTGGGAGGGTGCGCTTGTTTTTAAGGCACTAATTTGTGCTACTTGATAGTAATAATTATTGAGATAAACTGAGCAGCTACATCTTGGTATAGAAATCAGTGCACTGTCAGTAGAACAGTAAAGAACTTTCCACTCCCATGTTTACATATTTTCAAATGTGTCATCAGGCTAAATGCCCCCCAAAATACTGGCACTGTTCCTCTTTAGTAAAATCCAACAGAAGTGACTGCCCCTTGTGCAAAGCACTAGTAAATGTAGACCTAAATATCACATCACAGCTTTGACCAATTTTTTTTGTCTCTATGGGCTTTCTTGCATCACATATGCTTAAAGTGTTTGTTTGGTAGCATCTTGCAGTAAAATGGCTGATCATAAGATGTTAAATGTGTTATGTTAAACACAGAAAAAAGGTAAGTTGTAGATTATGGTTTTTAGGAAATATTTTTTGTTGTTCATGTTTAATTCCTTAACATTAGTTGTTTAATTCTATGAATCTTTTCCCTCTTGCATTGGAAAATAAATGGGTGTGTGGGTGCAGTCCTGAGCAGCACACAGCATTACATGCTTTACTGTTACCTTTTGGTTTTTCAACAGCTGTTATTAATCCATCCACATGTACCTTTTTAATGGTTATGGTATATTGAGCCTGTTGGCAGTCTATGACAAATAAGAAGTGAAATATAGTAACAAATCAAATTAAGGGAGAATAAATAAAATAAAAATAAAAAAGACTCAGCGCTACTACTCATCTTTAGATAGACACAGTTTATCAAAAAAATTTCTTTCTTTTTTTCACTCAGGTGTTTAATGATCCCATCCATGGCCACATCGAGTTACCTCCACTTCTTGTCAAGATCATAGACACACCCCAGTTTCAGAGACTACGAAAAATCAAGCAACTTGGGGGCGGTTATTATGTTTTTCCAGGAGCGTCACACAACCGCTTTGAGCACTCAGTTGGGTATGTCAACATGTTTGGAGTTACACATTTTTTGATAAATTGTTTGTTTTTTCAGTTTGTTTCATGGTGAACTGTGTGTTTTGTGATACAGAGTGGGGCATTTGGCAGGAGAGCTTGTAAAAGCTTTGAGGGCAAAACAGTTAGAGGAGCCGTCACTGAACTCAGAATCCCTCATCAATGACCGAGATGTCCTTTGTGTGCAGATTGCAGGCCTTTGCCATGACCTGGGTAAATCATACACAGTTTTTCAGTATTACATGCATTATATTGAAGATGTAAGGTGGCTCCATCATGTAGTCCATACACCCCTCCTTCAAACAAGTTGTTCTGTTTGAAAGTTGGAGGAGACTGTTTTTTCCTGGAAATTTACAAAAGTATTAATAACCAAATATAATCAAATAGATTTTTATTTGATTTTTGTCAGTGCCTGACAGGAATTTATCACAAGTCACCCAATCTGAAGTTCACACACATTCACCTTTTTTTTCCCCTTCAATTCAAGGTCACGGGCCCTTTTCTCATGTCTTTGATGGAATGTTCAACCCTCAAGCAGACCCAAATGGTGAAAAATGGGAGGTAAGAAAGAAAAATATTAGTTTCAGTTTGTGTGAAATGGGTCGTAGCAGTCATTCCAAAAACTGAAACATATATAAAAATACAGAAAAAAATAGAAATGGACCAGCAATTATTTTTGCTGGTTTTCTGGTCTCACTGACCACTTGAAGCACTACAAAACTTTATTTCCACACACTTTGAGCACTTTCTCTACTTTGAGAAGTACCTGGAGGAAATCCAAAGTCCATACAGAATAAATACAGGTTCACTGAGTTAGCTCCACTGTGACTGAAGACTGAAAACTTAAAACAAACTGTCTCTGTCCAAAGTTAGGAAAATTTGAGCCTCTGTAAAAGAAACTGAAGAATACTAATTTAGATGGATGTAAAAGCAAAAAACAAAAACAAAATCATATTGGTGCAGGCAGGGGGTGAAAAGAAGAACAGTAAATCTCTCCTTTTGTTACTGCTGTCAATATTTTGCATCTATTATGATGGGGCTTTTATTTGTTTAAATAAAATTTAATTAATAAATTTGCCAAGTAACATTAGCTACAGCAGTTCCACTAAATGATAAATTAACAATGAACATGCATTTCACAGGTTAGGTCAGACCTGTTGGCTTTGTAAAAGGAATTGTGACTGTTACATTTGAAATTTGAAATGCATATAAATGTTGTTTGAGTACTTATTACCTGAGAAGTTAACCTGTGTTTTTGTTTGTTTGTTTTGGGGGGGTGGAGGGGGGGTCCACTTTGAATCTGTGATCATTAAAATGCTTGCCTTTGTGTTCTTGCAGCATGAGGATGCCTCTATATTAATGTTTGATCACCTAGTGGATGACAATAAACTGACGCCAGTGATGAATGAGTACGGACTGATAACAGAAGGTGACAATGAGAATGACCTGGTGTTTATCAAGGAGATGATTAAAGGATCTGTGAAGAACAATTCACCTCTGAATGAGGTATTCATCGTTTTTTTTGTGTGAATGTTTTGAAATCAGTCAGGATTATTCCTGGAAAAAACTATGCCTAATGTTATTATTCTGGCTTCATCTCCACAGCAGTTGTATAAAGGTCGAAACAATGAAAAATCCTTTCTCTATGAAATTGTGGCAAACAAACAAAATGGAATAGATGTGGACAAGTTTGACTACTTCGCAAGGTGAAGCTTGCTATCCAGTAAAACTGTCCTCTTTTAACTTGTATTGCTAAATTTCTCTGTATCAGTTCCTGTTGAACATCAACAATATTCAATAATGTTTGTTTTACTACACGATATGAAGAATCTCAGGAATACTTTGAACCTCTTTGTGGGGGGAATGGTTGTTTTTTGAAATCCACATCTTCTCACTCCTATTTCAGGGATTGCCACCACCTGGGCATCCAGAACAACTTTGACCATCGACGCTTTATCGTATTTGCCAGAGTGTGTAATGTGGACGGGCAGTTACACATTTGTTCAAGAGACAAGGTGCTGACCTGTTTTTTTTTTTTATTAATTTTGAAAAGAGCGAGCTATTTATCTCATTATCTGTGACTAAACTATAGGCATGCTTTCAACAGGAAATGGCAAATCTGTATGACATGTTCCACACAAGAAACTCTCTCCACAGAAGAGCCTACCAGCACAGAGTAAAAATGGCAGTAGAGATTATGTGAGTACCTGTAGTTCAGGTATCAGTACTACACAACATTTAATTTGTCTACTGTCTCACCTAAAACTGACATGTTGGCCATTTTTATTCAGGATTAAAGACGCTCTCTTAAAAGCAGATCAGGATAAACACTTTATTAAATGGGCAGAAGGGAAGGCATGCTGTCTCTCCAAAGCTAAAAAGCACAAGGAGGCATACACCAAGCTGACAGGTAGAGGATTTGAAGTGTGGTGTTTAAAATTAACTACTCATTTAACTTTTAAAACATCTGAACTTGTCTATACATGCATTTTATTTGTTCTGCTTGCTCTGTAGATGAAGTGATTGAACAAATACTCCACTATGGTGCTTGTTCTTCCACCCCTTCCTCTCTGGAGGAGGCAGCACAGATTATACAGAGGATAATGCGTCGAGATTTGTACCAGCTTGTGGGTGAAATAAAGGTCTGCAGTTAGATTTTCATGAGTTTGTATTACAAGTTCACTATTGACAGCTGAAGATGTTTTCTTATCTACAATTTCTAAACCTGACATTATGAATATGCAGTCATGGCCAAAAAGTTTTGACAATGGAACAAGTTTTTTCATGTGCATGGCTGCAAAAAACGCTTAGCAACAATAAATCTTTGTCGCTAATGTTGCTTGACGAAAGGAATTTCAATACATAGTCTTTAATAGTTATTCCGTAAACCTCTCTTATTAGCCCAGTTTAATCTCCATGTTTATTCCCTGTTGTTGTTAATAAAATCAACCTAATATAAAGCCTGGTGTCAGCACGTGATATGTGACTGGCTTTTCTGACATTGCCTTTTCACACATGACCTAACAGGAGCTAGACAGGTATACACTACTACTACTTTCTGAGTATTTTTTCTATGTGTGAACTAAAACACCAAGCTGTAGATTTAAATATTTTAAAGTCTTGGAAGACCTAAGAAAGTCTTGAATTTAGGAATCTAAGAAAAGTCCAGTTTCAAACAGAAAAAAAATTGAAAATTGAGAAACACATGGAAGGAGTGTAAGGTAAAGGTTCTCTTACTGTTACCAATAATGAACAAATCTCTGTCTTCTCACTCCAATTTTTCTGACTTTCTCAGCTCAAGAAAAAAGACCAAGAGAAAGCAGAGGTAAGAATGAGGATTCATTATAAAACAAGATTAACAAATCAATAATAAGATAAAGGCTCAGGTTCTCTCTTCCTTACTTCAGGACGTGACTAAACGTTTAAAAGCAGAACTGGCTAAAGTCATTCCTAAGGATGGAAAACAGGATGAAAACGACAACTTTGAAGTTAAAGTGAGTTTTTAATTTAATTGCCTTCAATAAGTCTTTTCTTAATATCTTGGATTTTGTTAATAATCATTTGATTCAAAAGACATTGCGAACCTCCAATGAGCCATTATTTACATGTGAATATAAACACCAGCTTCTCTGTCACACTTCTCTTTTAGGTTGCCAAATTTGACTATGGAAAGAACAATGAAGACCCGATCAGTAACTATACATATTTCTACAGCAAGTTTAACCCTACCATTGGATTCAAGATCAAGCCAGAAGAGGTCAGAATCACAGTGCATATATAGGGCAACTTTCTGCTGCACATTTTGTCATTTTTATGTCACTGTCCTTGTTGTCAGGTATCCAATCTTCGCCCAGAATGCTTTTCTGAGAAGCATATTAGGGTTTACTGGAAGAGACGTAATGATAAGCGTCTGGAAGATGCAAAGAAGTGCTTCGAGGCTGTGAAAAAGGTATTACTATTCTATATAATGACAGTGGTGTTACTACATAAGCAGCAATGTGGTGGGAAGATAAGCATACAAGCTGCAGTTAAAAACTGTATCTTGTCAGAGTCCTGATTACGAATTACAGATTTATAACTTTGCCTCTTTGGTTGTACTAATGAACTTTATATAAATACAGGAGGTGGAGGAGAATTAGAGTGATGTCAAAAAAGCAACACCAGAAGACGCCCAGTGAATCTGAAGATGTTAAACATTCAGACACTAAGTTTTAGCGATACTGCAGAGATTCTGAAACAGGAATTTAAATCATAAAAGTCAGATTGTCTATTTTACAATATCTTCTTTTTGTTTTTTATCTTTTATTTTAACTAAGTGGTTTAGTTTGGAAATTAAATATAACCAATATATTTACATACTGAATGATTTGTAAATCTTCCACATCTCCGGTTGATATGGTTTTGTGGTTAGCAAGGCTTTTTTACTTTCTGCAATATGTATCAATGTGAAGTAAGAACCTAAAATCTAAAACAAGTCATGTATTGAATAAACTATATATCACACAATTTTCACTATTATATTATATCTTAAAGCTCAGCTCTGATCAATATATGGTTAAGACAAGCATTGGGTACTCTTGTGAGTTTTGACTGTGTGAAAATTTATTCTTTATTATGTAATGGGTCTCTAAATGAAAACCTACCAAAGGTTAATTGAAACTTTTAGCTGTTTTACTGTTTAGATGTGTTTGTTGATTTCGGGTCTATTCAAAATAAAGCTCCTTTTCTCTTTCTGTTGTATCATTTTGAAGTTACACCAAAAGAAGAAATTTTGATATAATGCTATATTTATAAAAGTATATATTAACTTCCCATACATACAACGATGGAAAAAAGGTAAACATTTTAGTTTACCTTACTTTCCTAATTTAAAGGTCATTTATTTCCCATTTTATGGGGCATTTTCTCCTATCAATAACAGATGATAAACTGGTATTAAAAAGATCATCCAAGGCTGAGCCAAAGGAAGGAGGTTGCAGGAATTAGGCTGGGGAAGAAGCACTGATGCTATCAGGCTAGAAATGCACCTATTCTTAACAGCTACATATTCAGCTAAGTGTTTTAACATCAGTCTACAATGTGGCAGGGTGTTGGAGTGGGCATCAGGTATTTATGACAACAGCTGATTAACAACAGCTGGTGACTTGAAGGTCCACACCTTACTACTGCAAACAAGCATCTACAGGCAGAACATACAGGAAGTAAAGGGTGAGGGACAGAGTGCACAGCCAGATACTAGAAAACTGAGGTAGAGCTTTAGGACATGTCCAAGCATGTGCTTATATGTAGTGATTTTTGAGAAAATAACACTAAATCAAATTACTGATGGTGAATAGGAACAAATTCAAGGTATAATGGATGACTAAAAATCCAGCAGCAGGTTTACAGTTTACATTTATCAGAGTGAATTGTAAGCACCAAAACTGATGGTAGAATTGATTCAAATGGGGTTATCATTAGTACATTAGTATCATTAGATATAGTTATAAGAAATTAGAGAAAAAAATTATAACTATGCAAATATTTATTTTACTTGTTTTATAAACCATTCAATTAATTAATCAAAGTAAATAGAATAAAATTGCTACACTTGTATTTTAAATATTTAAAGAACAGAGCAGACTACTATACAGTGTTGTTTAATCAGTGTGTTTTACAGGACAGCGTCCATGATAATGACCGTCTCTCCTTGACAGCTCCGACGGTTTTAATCGATATGAAGTTACTGTACATAACACCGCCTTTTTTATGCGTTTACGTCACCGAGTCACTTTACGTGAGGCTTCATTCGCTTCATCGCAATTTGCTCCGCCCCCTACTTGTCATCCAAGTACTTGCGACGTGCATCAAGCTGTCCGCAAATAGCGAGTTATAGACCGGAAGCAGAATGTGTTGCCTATTTTTTAAATATGTATCAAGAAGATCTTTTTCATTTATTTAATTATTAACCAATACTTTAGCAGCACTCTTTATAAGGGGTTATTGATCTATAAAATTTAACAGTGAAGTAGGGAGCGTATCAGAAAAACAGGAATAAAATTGTTGTTGTTTTTTCAGTCATCTTTAGTCATTGGATACTTTTATAATTCAACATCATAATCTTTGGTGTATAAGTGTCTGAGTTACGGGCTTCTGGTTTTGTTCTGTATTCAGAGTCTGCTGTCATAAAGACCCAGAACTTTATGGAAATACTTTTTGAGGTAAACACAGATATGTCAGGCTCAAAAGTGGCCCAAATGTGCCATTCCTATAAGTCAAACCCGATCCTGAGTGATATTCTCGATTCGGGTCAATATTAGGTCAGCTACAAGTCTGCCGTACAGTACAAGCCAGATGTCAGAGATATCAGGTGTTTTATAACATTTGTCTCCAAAAGTTGATTCTGTTCATCTGGACGTAGCGTTTTGTGGGAGAAACGTTCAGTCCTTCAGTCTCAAACCTTCAGTCTCAGCTGACTGCAGGTTTCCCCAATGTCAGTGGTTGTTGATCAATGGTCATGAGAATTTGCATAATTAAGATTAAGGAACTGACCTCCCAGCCCATTGTTCCTTCAGTGGGCTGGTTTCAGTCATTATGCAAATGTACTGTTTATAAGATTGGGGAAACCTGCAGTCAGCTGAAGAAGTCACTTGGATGAGTGATGAAACGCTACGTCCAGATGAACAGAATCAACTTTTGGAGATTTACTTACGTGGATGATTGAGCATGCATCAAGACCTTCTAACATTTGGTTATAGCAGAGATGGCACTTGCCATCACATATACCAAACCCAGTTCATAACTTCTGGGCCTCATGTGGAGAACACCATAGACTTTTAGCCCAAATAACAATTTAGCAGTGCCATTACTGATCAGTCAGTAATAAAAAAAAATAGCCCAGATTAGATGGGGGATGGAAATGTGGAATGATAATAATTTTTGGGGGGGATCTTTGCTTTTGCTTTTTGGTTATGCCACCCAAAAAGCAGGGCGTTAAGATGGGTTTTATGCTGCAATATCCCATTAAAATGGCATACTGAAAACATTATTTGGACACACAAATTTTGTTTTCACATGAAGAGCAATTAAAAAAAAATCACTATAGCTGAGCATAATATAATTTATCTTTAAAAGAAAACAATGAGTCATAACGTCTTGGTCGGTCAGCCATGTGAACAAAACAGTCTTATTTTGAAAGGAATCCCCGGAAGCGCTGTTAGTGTTTCGCTATGTTTTGTGGCTCCCTGAGAAAAGTCAAAACCCCGGCATTTTTCACTTCTCTCGTGTCTTCTCTGCACAGTTGTCAGATCAGCTGCAGTAGTCGACGGGAGAACGGCTATCGGCTATAATTTCTCGTGCCTTAACTTGCGCATCTAAAGCGAAAAGGTGCCAATTTGTTAGCTCACCATGGAGAACCGAAAGCGACCATTAGCAGCGATTTCAAGCCCAGACGATAGCTTCAAAACGCCGGAAAAGAAAGTGTCAGTGGTCCGGGTGTCGGATTCGGACTACATGCAGTGGGGAGTGGAGGAAATGTGCCGGTACCTGCAAAGAGAAGGTCTTGGAGAATGGGTGGACACATTCAAGGGTTGGTTTTCTGCTTTTGCCATCTTAAATTAGGCGCTCGAAGCTAATTGTTATTAGCGCTAATCTGCGGACTTCTGTTTTCATTGTAACATCTAAGCTAACATCAAAACTGTTGTGTTGTACAGCGCAAAAAATCACAGGTGTCGGGCTTCGGGATCTCAGGGATGCTGACCTGGAGAAGATTGGCGTAAAGTAAGTGCGTCCTCTGTAAAACTTGGGTTGGGCGTGTGGACTGGGGGAAGTCTGGTGTCCTGCCAAAAAGCAATTTCCGGTTTCTTTGCCAGAAAACGATTACCAATATTTAAACCACTGTAAACGACACGCTGAACTGTAAGCTGTCACATACATACGTACATACATACATTTTGACTCAGAGAGAGCATCCCTGTCACAGGGTACAAGCTGACTTTTACATATCTTTCATGCCATTGAGATTTAAAATGTCTCTTTCAAAAGCGATCTGGCTGACAGGACTGTATAAATTGCAAGAAATAAAACAAAGCACGAATATTAATATATTTAAAAGTACTGGGTTGGATTACCGTGTGGAACTTAAAGTAGTTACAGTAATTCAGTCATAACAAAACTTGCAAAAATGGTAATTTCAATATTTTCATATAACCCTTCGTAAATCTTCTTACTACAGGCTATTTATCAATATAGTCAAAGTTATTGGACCTAAAACAAATGCATAGAAACATCAGCAATCAGTTTGTGTCACAGCTGGTTAACCCATTAAAGAGAGCAGCGCACACCTGTAGTGTCAAAGAAGGGCAATTTGGTGTGTATGTACAGCACCCATAAAAAAAAACACCAGAGCCAGGCTCAGGGAGGAGCAGCCATTTGCTGCGGTATAACTAAGGTATGATTCAGGATCACCTGATCCAGGCCGAACTATGAGCTTTATCAAGCCTCAGACTGAGAAGAATGTCTGTTTCCTGAACCCAAAGTGGAACTGGTTCCACAGGTGAGAACTCAAAAATTGAATTCCTAGCCTCCCGTTCTGCTTCTGTTTTCACAGCAACCTGGTGGACTAGTTTTTCAGCATCACTCTGACACAGGACATTTCTAATTTTATCAATATTACGCAAGACATTTTATGCATCTCACCAGATATTCCTGCAACTTTTTCACTTTTATTTTTACCTCTTCTTTTTCTATTTTATTCTTCCAAGTTGTCTGGGTGACCGTCTGCGGATCCTAAACAGCCTCAGGAAGCTGTGGCAGATTGAAACTGAGCCAAGCAAGGTAACAGTTGTTTCACTGTTTTGTGCACTTTCAAGGCTGTGGAGATAAGTAACACACAATTTGGGAAACGGAAACGTGGAGCACTGCAACCCTGATTTGGATAAGCTGTTAGGAAATGTGGCATAACACCACAGTCTCTGAATGAAAGACATTCTCTGTCCTCATTGGCAGAAGGACCTACCTGATAGTTCTACTAAGAAAAATTTAGAGCTTTTTAAATTAACCAAATTCCTGTCACTCTGCAGCCATATTGATAACACCTCTTTTGCCATTTTTTTCAGGCAGGAAATGTTAAGAATTAATTGCTGTATTTCAGTCATACCATAAAAGATTAAAATTGAAGATGTGTGCTGAAAACAGGGTTTCAGAAAGTCTTTTTGGTTCTGGAAGTCATCTACATTTGGACTATATAAATATATCCATTGGTAATCATAAGGTTTTTTCTCTGCTTGTTCACACTACAAATAAAATGTGACAGCAAACGCGCTCTAGTGTGAACCGTTCACAACCCTCAAAGCGGCCCGCATGCACAAAAGAAGACGTCACACACAACGCGCTCTGTTTACACCCAGACCAACAGTATTGTTTGACTGATGGCCCTTAATATAAAGACTTATTTCAGACTTTACGTTTCCCAATTTTGCTTTAAGTTATAAAGTTATTTTGTTATTTACATAATAATGTAAATAACCTAATAATGATCCTTATTGCTGTTTTAGAGAGGAGCGGTGCTTCAAAGGATAGTTGCAGATTTCTGTCAGAATCTGCAGATTATACAAAATGTTCACATTTCTCCAACGTTGTCTTCCCAACAGTTTCACTAACATCTACACTGGATGGCCAGGAAGCGTTCACAATGTCTTCTCCAGCGCTGATAATTGGCGTCTGTCTTGTGTCAGTGACGTAAAAGACGGATTTAATGCGACATGACCGTTCAAACAGCAGTCGCTTTCTAAAACATCAGATATGTATCGGATTCAGCACCACATACAAAAGTGACCCAGATCGGATTTGAAAATATCGGATGTGTGCTGTTCACACTGTCATACCATGATCGGATATGGGTCGCATAGGGTCAAAAAAGTCAGATTTGATGCGCTTTCGCCTGCAGTGTGAACGTAGCCAAAGAAATGTTTGCCAACATTTCCACTGAAGTGTAAACTGAGCATATTTGCACACTGCTGTGTTGAATATACTGTATGTACGGCCACATAAATGTCTTTTGTGGTGGTATACTCATACTGTTTGTTATTGTTTGTGCTTCCAGGTGTTTAACGATCCTATCCACGGGCATGTGGCGTTACACCCGCTTCTCATCAAAATCATCGACACACCTCAGTTCCAAAGATTGCGAAACATCAAGCAGCTAGGAGGGACCTACTTTGTCT